TTAGGCAGATATGTTAACCATTGAGCTACAGAGCTCGACTCCTTATCAGCCAGGCCAGGGTGAAAGGTATATATATATATCCTATTCTGTTCATTTAGTTGTTTAATGTTTATCATGGGGAAAGTACACACTGCAGTTGATATTTTGACTGAGTCCCCACTGGACTTGAAAATGTAATACAATAGTCTGTCTTGAGATATCAGAAAATATTTGATGGGTTCAGAAATATATTTTCATATTCTGTCCTCTTAATTATCTCACTGTCCCTAGCTGAAACAGCAATCTGTTCAGAAATTGTTTAGAGTGAGCTGAACTTTCTCTGCCATATAACTATAAGCAAATGGTAGTGTTTCCTTGTGTGTGTTTTAACATAAAGCAAAATGAAAATAGACTATGCTCAAAGTTTTTATATAATTCTGAGAGCTGATGGAAGAAGAACAATAATTAACCCTCTCTGCTTGTCAATTGTTTTCAACCAGTGGAATGTATATTAAATTTAACATTGAAAACAATGATAATTATAACAAATATAATTTATAAACACATGCCAGTTGCCAAGTGCCTGAATTTATATCATGTGATTGTGGAGATACTGTGATGGTCATAAGTAACCAGGAATGAGTCCTTTTTTTACTTAAGTGTGAGGACCAGTCATGAGTCCCATTGTAACTTCAAATGATTGTGAAATTAATGCTTATAAATTGAGGACTACCTCTATAATCACAAAAAATATTTTGGTGAAGTCAGATTCTTTTTTTAACTTCATTATTTAAAAAATAGAAATGTTTTTTTAAAAAACACAGATTACTGACAAAGTAATTATGAAATAGTACATTGCTAGACTATTTCACTTTTTAAAAAAAATAAGTATATTATATAAACACACACACACACACACACACCTCTTGTCTAAAATTAGAAATATTCTCTATATCAAGCAACTATTCTACCTACTATTCTACCGTAGAATTATCGATGAAGCTTTTAAATCATCATTACCTTAACAAATAGTTTCATAAAACTGTTTCTAAGATAATAGTTTCATATTTCAATTATTCTTTAATTTGTACTAATTATATTTTTCTAATTATTGTTTTTATAATTTTTTTAGATTGTAGTTTTACTTTATTATATGTCATCTAAGTCACTTCTAGTGAGATGGGCAACTATCTTTTTTAACAAAGGAAGAAACAAATAAACTGCTTTCTTTCTTTCTTACAAGTGTTAGATCTGCAGTTCATGTATCATTTTGTACAGTTTCCATCATGGAAAGCTTTGTCAGCTCTTTTCTTTCTTTCAATCAAACTGATATTAAAACCTGAGGACTAATTTGTAGACCACAATTACATAATTCCCAGTAGTATTTTCAGCACAAATGTCATATGCCTGAAGGGGTGATAATAAAACATACTTTTAGGAGTATATTAGTTATATTTGCGTGTTAACATTCACAGTTTTACATTTGGGGAAGCAGTACATTAGTGGCACTAGACAATTACAACATCAGGTGAATCTGTTGGGGGCCTTTCAATGACAAATGACCAGCATCTTCACCAATTCTATTTCTGGGAAGTCTGCCTAATGTGTATGAAGATTTAAGTAAAGGATTAAACAGCAGTAGCAACATCTTTCTATTTATTAACCTAAGCTTTATTTTTTGCCACAGGGCATACTTGTCAAGAGGATATAAATGAATGTGAAGCAAATGCTTGCTTTCCTGAGGTCTCTTGCACAAATACTATGGGGTCTTTTGAATGTGGCAGCTGCCCTATTGGGATGAAAGGTGATGGTAGAAATTGCAAGTGTGAGTATTTTGTAACTGATGTTACAGTAATTAAGGAAACAATTGTAATGGGTTCAACCCCAAAATAAATTTTGTGAGTCAAAATAATGCAATATTTGTGTCTTTGTTCATCTATCTATCTATCTATCTATCTATCTATCTATCTATCTATCTATCTATCTATCTATCTATCTATCTATCTATCTATCTATCTATCT